AATATTTTTTATAATAAGTGGTATCGATATCGGTATCGTAAAATTTTTAACAAGAACTATCGGTATCATATTGAATTTAAAAATTGTGGTATCGCCCATCCCTACTATAACTTATGTTAAGCGGCTTTGACAAAATTTACATTGTAAAATATACTTGATAAATATGAATTGAATTCAATCTGCTTAAATGTGTACACGTTAATGGACCGAACAAAATATGATCTGATTTATTTTACATTTAATGTGCATTAGAAATACAGTGTGTGTAGCCAATGTTTCCAGTGTCTTTACACTTTTCAGCTTTTGATGAGAGTTTTTAAGACCTAATGAAAACTAATGTTAAATTTATTGATTTCAGACCTAATTGAAGAGAATGAGAGGAGTAAAGAGGAGGAACATCATGTCAAAATTGAGGAAAAAAATAATTTACAGACTGATGGTTTTTTGAAAAGGAGAGACAAGAATCGTTTCACCTGCACTCAGTGTGGGAAGAGTTTTGCAAGCAAAAGCAGTCTTAAGATTCACATCAGGATCCACACTGGAGAGAAACCATTCACATGCCTTCAGTGTGGGAAGAGTTTCAACCAATCATCAAACATTAATCTACACATGAGGATCCACACTGGAGAGAAACCATTCACATGCACTCAGTGTGGGAAGAGTTTTAGCCTATTATCATCCCTTAATCAACACATGAGGATGCACACTGGAGAGAAACCTTTCACATGCACTCAGTGTGGGAAAAGTTTCAGTCTGTCATCTTCCCTTAATCGCCACATGAGGATCCACACTGGAGAGAAACCATTCACATGCACTCAGTGTGGGAAGAGTTTCAGCCTATCATCATCCTTTAATCAGCACATGAGGATGCACTCTGGAGAGAAACCATTCACATGCACTCAATGTGGGAAGAGTTTCAGCCAATCATCATCCCTTTATAACCACATGAGGATCCACACTGGAGAGAAACCATTCATATGCTCTCAGTGTGGGAAGAGTTTCAGCTACTCCTCACACCTTAATCACCACATGAGGATCCACACAGGTGAGAAACCATTCACATGCACTCAGTGTGGGAAAAGTTTTAACTGCTCATCACAGCTTAATCAACACATGAGGATCCACACTGGAGAGAAATCATTTACGTGCACTCAGTGTGGGAAGAGTTTTTACTGCTCATCACACCTTAATCAACACATGAGGATCCACACTGGAGAGAAACCATTCACATGCACTCAGTGTGGGAAGAGTTTCAGCCAATTATCATCCCGTAATCTACACTTGAGGATCCACACTGGAGAGAAACCGAACCACAGAATTTCACATGCTCAAACTCTAGTGTGACAGCAGCTTCGGTGTGGGAAGAGTTTCAGCAACTCATCGGACCTTAAAGGGCCATGAAACCCCCTCGTTTCAGCAGGGTGTTTTCACACCTCTACTTTGGAAAAAGTCAGAAAAGTGGGCGTGTCCAGCTCTGTTTAGGGGGGAGTGTCGGAGGAAGAAAAGTGGGATGGTGTGGGAGTGTCTATTTGGGCACGCGCGAGTTTCAGAGTCAAAAAACACACACACACACACACACACAAAGGAATTAGCACACAAACACACAGCAAAGTCTGCCTGACATTTTGATTAGTTTTAAGACAAAACTTAATTTCATATTAATATAATACTGTTACTAACCATATTATTTAAAAATGTATTTAAAATATATGACATTCATTATGAGAGAAGATTAAAACTGTCTCAATTATTTCTTAAACCAAGATTATACCACCAGTTAGGATTTACAAGTCAATTAACAACACAATTAGTGTACAAACTGCTCTCCTTTCACAAACATCTGTCCTCTTCAGCGGTTTTCTAACCTTTTAAATCTAGAAGTTTTTTAAATCTAGAAGTACTAAGTTCTAGAAGACTCTAGATTTTTAAAGATTTGACTTCCACAAACGTAACTAACTCCACTGATAAAATGATATAAGCTAATCTGAGTTTTAGAAGCTTGCTACATAAGGCATACAGACTAAATCTACTTACTGGTCAAAAGCCATTTCTAATGTTAAAATGTGAGTTCTGTCAACTGGTCAAAGGCAGCAAGCTGTTGCTGAAAGTGAGACAACTGTACAATGATTGAGATGAGATGGGCCTCTTTAACCTGAGCTGGCAGCAGGTCAACAACATATCAGGGCACAGCATCTTTGACTTGAACCCTCGAATGTCAGATGAAAAGTCTGATGCTCTACCGACTGAGTTAACTGGGATCATTGGGGCATTAGCTTAGATTTACTTGTGAAGTGTCAGAGTTGCAGCATGCACTAAAAAATGAGCTGTACAAAACAGGTGGCAAGAGGGGGGCGTGATGCCAATGTCACCGTAAGGAATCCTGCCGTGACCTGAATTCGCCTTAACCACTTAGCCACAACTACAAGACTGACTGTACTGCCTTAGCCATTAGCACACCCTGCACTAAAAGGAGGCTGGAGATTATAAATGGCAACAGAGTGCAACGCCAATGCCATTGAAAAACCTGCCGTGACACGGATTCCAACCAGAGTTGCTGCGGCCACAACACAGAGTACTAACAACTATACAATCACGGAAAGCTATTGGACAGCCACTGGACCTTCACTCTCTGTCAAATATCTTTGAAAATGGAGGGCCCCCAGGGCAGTTAGCTAGCATGCGCTGCTGTTTTATTAAAGGTCGCAAATCAAATCCTGCCTGGGTGTAGTTGGCAGGATCCAAACCTGCACGGCAAGACACCAACGGATTTCTAGTCCATCGCCTTAACCACTTGACCATGACTACATGTACTGCCATGGCCTCATGGCTAGTACAAGTATTGTGCATCCAGATGAAGGCCCCCAGACCAGTCAGTTAGCATGCGCTGCCGTTTTAATTTTGTTGTTTTTCTTTTCCAGCACAACCCTTTTCCCAAGAAACAATGGAGTTTCAAACAATCATGGAAGGTTGTAAACTAAGTCCTGCACACTGCCTGGATCTAGTCAGCAGGATTCGAACCTGCGCGGGGAGATCCCAATGGATTTCAAGTCCATCGCCTTAACCACTCCGCCACAACTACAAGACTGCCTGTACACCCATGTCCTCATGCCTAGTACATGTGTTTTGTATCCAGATGAAACTTTGAGCAAGCGATAGCTCAACAGCAGAAGCAGTGGCTCCACAAAAGTAGTCTTACATGCCCGAACAGGGACTTGAACCCTTGACTCTCAGATTAAAAGTCTGATGCTCTACCGACTGAGCTATCCGGGCTCCATGGCAATGCTTTACAAGTATGCCACATTTAGGGTTATGGTTATTAAACACAAAAGTTTACCGTGAGGTGGGGCTTAGGCTTATGGTTGGTGTAGATGTTGCTAAAACACAACAGTTTACTGTGAGGTTGGGTTTATGGTTGTTGTAGGTGTAGACATCAGTACAACACAATAGTTTGGACTTAATGTCATGTAGGAGACATTAAACAGATCAATAATAACTGCAGAAGGTCTTTTTGTTGTTGTGGCAATGAATGGAGACTTAACAATTGAAAAGATTCCTTCCATGCCTTAGAAGCGTGACTTGATCAATGCTTTTCTACACAGCATGCTGCATCAAAGGTCCCGTTGCTTATATCAAATCCCTAGTCTTCCACACTTTGGGAAACGTAAACATTCAGGACGTGCCATTAACACGGCCTGCACGAAAAGCAGGCTGGAGATTACGAATGGCAACACAGAGTGCAACACCCATGTCATCTTGGAAAACTTGCCATGATCTAGATTCAAACCAGGGTTGCTGCGGCCACAACGCAGAGTACTAACCACTATGCGATCCCAGCGAGCTTCGGGAAAGTCACAGATCCTTCACTCTCTGTCATATGTCTTTGAAAATGGAAGGCCCCCAGAGCAGTCAGTTTGCATGCGCTGCCATTTTATTTTTGTTGCTTTTCCTTTTTAGCACAACCCTTTTCCCAAGAAACAATGGAGTTGCAAACAATCATGGAAGGTTGCAAACTAAGTCCTGCACACAGCCTGGACGTAGTCGGCAGGGTTCGAACCTGCGCGGGGAGACCCCAATGGATTTCAAGTCCATCGCCTTAACCACTCGGCCACAACTACAAGACTGCCTATACTGCCATGTCCTCATGCCTAGTACATGTGTTGTGCATCCAGATGAAACTTTGAGCAAGCGATAGCTCAACAACATAAGCAGTGGCTCCACAAAAAGAGTCTTACACGCCTGAACAGGGACTTGAACCCTGAACCCTCAGATTAAAAGTCTGATGCTCTTCCAACTGAGCTATCCGGGCTCCATGGCAATGCTTTACAAGTAGGCAATGTATAGGGTTGTGGTCGGCGCAGACCTTTGCGACACAAAAGTTTACCGTGAGGTGGGGTTTAGGCTTATGGTTGGTGTAGATGTTACTAAAACACAACTGTTTACTGTGAGGTTGGGTTTATGGTTGTTGTAGGTGTAGACATCAGTACAACACAATAGTTTGGACTCCATGTCATGTAGGAGATATTAAATAGATCAATGACAACTGCAGAAGGTCTTTCTGTTGTTGTGGCAATGAATGGAGTCTTAACAATTGAAAAGATTCCTTCCATGCCTTAGAAGCGTGACTTGATCAATGCTTATCTACACAGCATGCTGCATCAAAGGTCCCGTTGCTCATATCGAATCCCTAGTCTTCCACACTTTAGAAAACGTAAACATTCAGGACGTGCCATTTGCACAGCCTGCGCATGGAGACCCCAATGGACTTCTAGTCCATCGCCTTTTTTATTTTTTATTTTTATTTTTTTAATTTATTTTATATCAAAAATTTAAAACAATTACATTCAGGTAATAATACATGTACATTATATAAAGCCATTTGAACATATGTATTCCCACTTAAAAAGTCTTTTTCAAATACATCAATTTTGTTATTCATGTTACAATAATAGAAAAGAGCATTATGCAGTTTAGACATTTTTCTTTGAAATGATTTACACAGATATTTTGCTATTATTTTCTTTAACAATATTCCTTCTATTCCATATCACATTTCTTGCAACTGTTAAAATGAAGTTTATGAACCTTGTGTTTTTACCTTGTAAGACTGGATTTTACTCAAACAACTATCCCTTGCAATAAAACCATAAAAACTCTGGAATCCGGAAGAAGGGACAGGAGAACACAATCAGAACATTCCTTTCACCGGCATCCATCTCCCTTACTGATGTTATTTTTTAATTATAATCATTCAGGTGTGACTGGTAAACTGGTGAACTGTCTTTAAAGTTCATTTCACCCCAAAACATTGGGTAACCCTTTGAAGTTAATTAACTCTAAAAACAGAGTCAGATATTTGGGTGCTAAATATGTATGACTGTTGCACAAATGTTAATGGGTATTTAAAGAATCTTGGCAAAACACTTGGGGAAGTTTCTGTAGCCAGACTTCCCACACAGCCTCTGTGTGTCTCTTCTATTGCCAGGTATGCTGACTTTATGAAATTATTTTTTAACTTTGTATTTGTATTTGCATTTATCTGCGTTTATATGTTATGCTAATCAGTTGTGTTTTGTATTCAATTTTTGATTCATTCTAAGTGTTGTTTTACCTGCCTGGCAAAATAAATGTTAACCCTTTTTGATTAATTCTGGAGTTTTGTGAATTCATTGTATCCATTAGATTATGAGGAATCTTCGTTATCCTTAAAGTACGGCATAAATTAAATTGATTAATAGGCTTATTTGGTTATACGTAGCCATAGCGTGCTGATAACATGTAGACCTTTTAGTCATTTAAAGGGCCATGAAACCCCCTCGTTTCAGCAGGGTGTTTTCACACCTTCACTTTGGAAAAAGTCAGAAAAGTGGGCGTGTCCAGCTCTGTTTAGGGGGGAGTGTCGGAGGAACTAAAGTGGGATGGTGTGGGAGTGTCTATTTGTGCATGCGCGAGTTTCAGAGTCAAAATACACACCCACAGCGGACAATGTGACTGTGTTTACATGGACATCTGTAGTCGAATTATTTGCCAAATTATTAAAAGTTGGACTTTAACTGCAGTTTGGCTCTTTCATTCAGGGAATTC